TGAATCTTCTATTATTCTTTTCTTACAAAATATTTCGAGAATTTATCAAAATCGAAATATTTATATTTATCATATAAAAGTTCCATTTATCAATTTCCATATAATTAAACCGATCGAGAATAAAATCGATTACTTACAAAGACAATTGAAATTGAAAATCCTATTGAATCTTCGTATTTATTCTTTTCTTACAAAATATTTCGAGAATTTATCAAAATCGAAATATCTATATTTATCGTATAAAAATTCCATTTATCAAATTCCGCGTAAACATAATTAAACCGATCGAGAATAAAACGAGAGCAAACCGGTTACTTACAAAGACAATTGAAATCAATAAAATTGTATCGACTCAAATTAACTCTCGTCTTAATATCCAAGAACTTCCCGATTAGCATCGAAACGACATTTATTACCAAGCAATTTATTATAACCTAATATAAAAATCGATCGAATTCCTCTCGACGATGATTCGTCAATATTTTTCGAATCAATCGAAAAATCGAAATATAAAATCACAGAGAGCGAAGAACTTCACAAATTTACAATACAGGATTATTTCGAATTGCGAGTCAAACATTATGCTAATATGAAATCGACCGTTCGCGTTTCCATTGCAGCGATCAACATGTCCAAATATCCCCCAAAATGAAAACGTTGAAAAGGATTCCTGTTGTATATATATTTCAAATTCGTGTATTCGATGATGTGTACAAACGATGGAATGTGGAATTAATATCGTAAACATCGACCGACCGATACCCCTTTTCCATTCGAATTCACGTTCTAATTAATCCACCTGCCCCGCATACCTTACGGCCATTCTCGGTGTTTACTCGGTGTCTCGGCCGATAACGAGCAGATGCATGGTAATTAGCCAGATCTCGAACGCCACGCCACTCCACGGCTCGCAGTCGAGATCGATTTTAACGCGGTGGTTCGCGGCCAGGAGCGTAATGGAAGGTAGCAAATATCTACCCATTAAAATAATTAGGGATGCGTGAAACTCGAAACTGCAGTTAAATGGTGTCGTGCTCTTTAATGAAGGTGTTGTTGTGCATTCTTGGACGTCATTATTGCGGCGATGTCAAGTTTGTCAGAATTGGTTGATCGAAGAGTTTTTTTGATTGAGATTTATTAACGAAAATATATCGATAAATGTTTCGATGTTACGTTAAAGTTAATAATTCGTTGCAATTTATACAATTTGTTTCTCTGTATATTACAATTGATAATATTTAAGTAGTTTTAAATTACGGTAAATATTATTGATACATTTAGTCGTTTATTTTTGAAAAGTGTAAAATTGGGGATTTCGTATATGCAACAGTTTAATAAAAAAAGATGGTTAGTATTAGAAAAATTTTTCGATATTTTTTCGATTTAATTACCTTTGGAGTTTTGCGATTGGGCCGCTGGAAACAATGGCCAAAGCTTTTGGAAACTGTATTGGATATTGAATTGATTTCGCAACGATTTGCACGAAAGATCCTATTGAGCTCGAAATTATGGTTGCCGGTGTTTCGTGCCAAGTTAAAGTGCACCTGACGAGAAGTAAGTGAATTTCGAGTAACCGCAAGACGGTATCGTCAGCATCCGCGAGATTGTTCCTTCAATTTGCAGCTTCATTCGATCAATCCTTCCTTAAGTTAAAGCTTAAATCAATTTAAACCCAAAAATTATTATTTTCATCACTTTAAAATAAAGTAGAAACATTTGTATTTCGAAATAATAATATTGAAAGTAAAATAAATCGTGAAGAAAAATAAAAGACAAGAGAGAAGGAGAATTTTCATTCTCTTGTAAAAATTGATTCAAGGATTCGAAGAAGCGGGTATAAAATTGGATAGTCGAAACGTGTTGTTCGAAAGAATCGAGACTCTCGAGAGGTTTGACCAATAAAGAAACGACGGAAAGTCAAAAGAACAAAAAATGGGGGAATTGGAAAAGCAAATCGAAGCGTTTTCTATACAATCGTGTATACAGTTCTTCGGTGTACTCTGTCACGTGTCTCTCCCTCCTGTCTCACTCGAAGAAACTGCTGCACCGGCACAAAAAGAAGAGCGGAAACAAACTGGCCGAATCAGCACCGGCCATCTCTTCCGATGCGCCATCTACTCTATTTCTTTTTTCGATTTTATTCCATTTCTATTGTTATTCGACCAACGTACCGTTAAAAACTTATAAATTCAATTCTAAGATCCAACTTCACGACGTGAAATAAAGAAACAATTCGAATTTTGAATTTTGATTCGATTGTTACTAAATTAGTTAAAAAAGTTACTAGATTAAACTAGCTAGGATTGGAGAAGATCAAATTTGAAGATCAAAACGAATTTTCTTCGACGATCCCGATGCCATTACAGATATCAGGATATCGCAACGAGCGGATAAAGACAAAGGAACAAAGAGACAAATCAGCAAGTTAATATTGACTGGCCTAGTTTTAAATGATTTGCTACAATGCAACCCAATTGTCCCTGTATACGTTGCATCTTGTTTCAAATATCGAGTCCCTCTCTTCTAATTGCTTCATCATTCTCGAGGCCAAGATCTGCTCAAGAATCTCGTTATCATAACGATCAAATTATTCTAGCGGAAAAAGTGTTTTTCCCTATGGAGCGGTTAACCTATGTAATAGAAATTTAACCAGGCAAAGGAGGATCAGGAAAGAATTCCTTTTTTGCGGGACAGGAATTTCCATTTACAGCTTTCTTTCGACGCTTGACGTTTCGGTGTCGAGTCTTTATTTTCTCATAACTTTTCCCCTAGGGAACGAGCGAGAGAAGAAAACATGCAGCGAATAGGGATGTTCAATCTCCGCGTGAAGAAAGCTTCGCTCTGCTATTTGATCGTTCATTTAATCGGACAGAAATTCCCTAAGGAAGAGATAATCTTTTTTTTAAGACGACGATATTTTCGATGAAATATAGTTATTTGGTGTTTGAATGACAATGAAGGATTTTTCGATAGTATACCTTTTTATATTTATCTCTGTCATTCAGAAATATACCAAGTATCTCGTATAATTTTATATAATGGAATATCTCGTTTATTTTTCATGATATTAAAAAAATGTTTAGAATAAAAATTGAATGGGCTATATGATATTCATTCTTTTGTAGATATACAGGTAAAAAGAATTTATAAAGGTTAACTTTTATTTCTTCAAATGGAATTATATAATTTTTAATCCACGAGTCAATTATATAAATCTAAAAATTAAAAATAATTAAATATAATGAAACATATCTAATAGGTTTTTTTTACAGAGAATAACTTGCTAAATTTATTTATTGTATTAAAAAATGTAGAATTACATTTAAAAAATTAATTTCTTCTCGAAATCATTAAACGTTTAAAACATTTTTTAATATCTCAAAAAGACATTCTATTTATTAAAATTATATAAGAACATCTAATACAAAACAAATCTGATATAAATTTTTTCTGAAAGTCTAGTCTATTTTACTTAAAGATACAAAAAAAAAAATAGTGTAATTTTTTTTCTTTAACTTTTTTACATTATAATAATTTTTAATTCTACACAGAAAAATCGTATCAATTGGAATCTGTATTCTCTCGCGTGTTTTTCTATGCAGTGTTGCCAATAATGGTTAACCTTACGGTAACTAGATGAAAACCACGTTCGTCGCAACGTCAAAGGGAGGGAAGAAGAATATATTCGTGGAATTCACAATGTGAGGCTGGATTGAAACGTGCTCGAACGTAATCCGTTATTGAGGGAGAAGAAATACGTGGTCGCGGTAGTAACGGGCGTCGATTCGACGTCGAAGCACGTCGAGACGCCTCTGCGGACTCTTGTTACCTCTGCTGCATCCGATCGATGTATTAATCTGAATGCAATGGACGAGGAATTTTTCCGTGCATCTATTCCAATTAGATTATTTTTTTTTTTTTCAAGGCCTTCCTTTTTTCCCTCCCTCCTTCTTTTTTTTCATTACTATTTTGAAGTCAGATATTTTTAGAAGTTAATTGACGGATTTAAAAGGGAAGAGATAATTAGAATTACGATGGCGGTCAATCGATTGACTTGTACTACTAACTACTAATCTTTCGATTTTCGAATGAAACTGGATTATCGAATTATTGTCTAACGACGTTTACAAAATTCTGTATTGATGATAAACCTGTTAAAAATTATTTTTTTCACATGTAAGGACTTAATGCTCGACTCGAACTACTAATAACCCATTTGATTCAAAAACCAAACTTATCCAAATCAGATTCTTCTCAACATCGAAATTACAAGCGAAATATATCCTTAAAAATACTTCAATATTACACCAATTTTTTACACCAACGCTCGATTAAAAATAACTTATCGTCGTTCCAAACTAAAATTGATTTTCCAACTTTTACCAACATTTAAATTAAAAGTAGAAAATAGAGAAAGTTTTTTTTATTTCTTTGTGTAAATCGTTTCACGAGCGGAAAAAGAAACGGTCGATCGAAATCCAATTCGCAGTTGCGGTTCGAAAGAAAGGAAAAAGACAGGAGGAGGAGGAGGAGGAGGAGGAGGAGGAAGAGAAAAAACATATCACGGTGAAAAAGTCAATTTCTCGTGTTGCAAACAAACTATCAATGCGCCTATCCCTCTCGACGCCTATTAAAACTTTTTAACCAAAACGTTTCCCATTCCCACTCTTGTATTTCTATTAAAACTTTGCCAATCTATTAAACAGATATTCGAATCAATAGAAAAATAAATTGTATCCATATCCAGTTGATCCATTCGGATCATCGAGAAGTTTCTTCGAGAAATAAAACAAATTCTTTTAAAATCGTTCACTATTTTTTTTTTCTTTTTTTTTTTTCGATATTATATTTCAACAACATTTACATATTTTTTTCTTTCGACATTGCACATCGATCAATGATATTCAATTCTTTCTCGAAAGGAAGAGAAAATTTCTTTTTTTTTTCTCTTTGCAACAATTACGTAAGAAATACGAAGAAAATCTTTCTCTTACTTGCAGGCGATGGCGGCGGCGCTGGTGGAGATGGCGACTCCATGGTGGGCGGCGGTAATTCCGAGAAGAAGAATACGGAATACGAGACGAATCTCTTCCTCTATAGCGTAAGTAAATATATATTTCACTTCCATCCGCTTGCACTTCGATCAATCGACAACGCCACCCTTCTATAAATAAGTTAAGATCTTGGCTCGAATGTAAATTACCTTTGAATTACCTTCTTACAAACTTTAATTAGATTACGTAATTAAATTGTTGAAGTATTCATCGTCGTCTCACCATTTCGTAATTAAATTGTTGAAATATTCACCATCGTTTTAAATAAATATTTATCCGTTTGCACTCATCAATCCGCGTCTATATCTCCTCATTTCTTCCTAAAATAATTAAATTATGAAAATAAAAAAAAGGAGGAGGAGACAAAAATTCACAAAATTTCGATCAAAATCGAAATCCTTCTTGGACACTTCTACTTCTTCTTCTTAATCAAAATTAACAGTCCAAGGGGTGAAAGTAATTCGAGGGGGTGAATTTGTAATTCGAATTCGTCGTGATGAAAGCGCGATGAAAGTTGAACGTGGATAAGAAAACTGGGACGTTCCGGCTTCTCTTTTCTTCAAAGAAGAAGGGTCCTTCTTTAAAAAAAAAAAAAAAAAAA